CTGGAAACATCCCAGATCTATGTTGTCAGGTAGTAGCGTGTTGTAGTGGATCCGCGGCGCTACTACTACTACTACTACTACTACTACGACGACGACGACGACGACGACGACGACGACGACGACCACGACGACAACAAAGACGACGACCACGACGGCGACGGCGACGACGATGACCGATGTGACGACTGCGACCGCCTACGGCTGGGGCTACGGCTACGGCTACGGCTACTGCTACTGCTACTGCTGCTGCTACTACTACTACTACTACTAGTAACAGTCGTTTCTATGACCATGGCCATTACCGTGTCCATTCCTATTGCTGTGACTATTGAGGGCGCCTGTATGCCGCTGGGTCATACCGGACGAACTCGCCAGTCTTGCTCATGATGGCTCCTGAAGACATGGCATTTTAGGGTTCTACTGTCCTTAAAAAGGGGGTACACTACAGGGACCTAAGTCACTACCAATATGGTGATTCACCGGGATCTCAAATAGTTAGACCGCAACATGATATTGGGAATTATTCAGGCCCCTGTTGTATTAGGTCCCCTTGCATGGTCCCTCATACGGCAAAACATGTCTTTAAACTGAGTACGGAAACCTTTTCGAGACACCGACCATCACCAAAAAAACAACAGTTCATAGGGATTACGTTGTACTTCAGCACTGGCATGGCTTCTGAGCAGTATGTTTAGGTAACCTTTTTTGGAGCCCTACGAGCTGCGAGAAGGCAAGCTGAATATCTATGGAATGTTCATAGCCAGCAGCCAGTGTGGTGTCATATTCTATCGAAGAACAGTGACTGCAGGCTATGAACTTTTCAGTCATGAGTCTTTCAGTCTGGCTTTACATCTCTAAACCTGAAGCCGTAAACCATGAGCCGCGAAAACCCAACAAAAAACACAAACACCACAAACTTCTTAACTATGAAACTAGTATAATGTATAATGTATTCAAACGCCAGAACCGCTAACCCTAAACGTCTACACGCGTAAACCCCTTGAACCCTAAACCCTACCCCTACCCCCTAAACCCAACCCCTACCCCCTAAACCCCCCTAAACTCCTAAAAAAACAACCCTACACCCTAAACCCAAAATAATGTAGTACTTTCCATTTTCTTTTCCATTATCCTTATATAACCCTATATGAGCTATAGTCTAAACTCCTAGTATCCCCCTTAATGACCCCTATAGTAGTCCCTTATTAAATCCCCTATATAACCCCCTTTAAGGAGTTTAGACTATAGCTGATATAACCCTCTATTACCCTAGACAATTCCCGGAGCCTTGGGAGCGCTGGGTTGGCGCGGCGGAGCCCCTGAGTGTAGGGCTTTGTCTCAGGTAAAGGGTTATAGTCCCCCTTAAGTAGATAGAATTTGGCTTTGGGTATATTATAATAAGATCTCCATATACCTTATATTCTATCTATTCAAGGGGGACTATAGGGGTTTGAGGGTTTAGGGCTTCGTTTCGGGTTAGGGGTCAAGGGTTTTGAGGGGATGAGGGTTTAGGGTATGAGGGTTTAAGGGTTATAGTGGACTGTAAGGGTTAAGAGTTAAGGGTTTGAGGGTTAAGGTTTAGGGCTTTGTTTCGGGTTAAGGGTTTGAGGGTTCATGTTTGAGCGTTTGCGGTTAGGGTTTAGGGCTCAGGTTTTAGGTTTAGGGCTTCAAACTTTGTTTCGCGGTTAATGTTTGAGGGTTTAGGGTCAGGGTTAGGGTTTAGGGTTTATGGGTTACGCGTTTAGGGTTTAAGGCTTTAGGGTCAGGGTTAAGGGTTTAGGGTTAGGGGTTTAGGGGCTTAGGGATTCTTTAGGGTGCAGGGTTTCAGGGTTAAGGATTGAAGGTTTCATGGTTCAGGGGTTACATCGACCTCCCATCAAATGCCCATTATCCTGGCGCATACATCAACTGCTCAAGTCTTGAGACAACGTTTGGGATTGGTGTTGCACTTGGTGCATACCTGGACCTTCAAAACGAATTACTTTTGAGGGTGGGTGCGTTTTTTTGGTAGGATCTCTTACTAGGACCGCCGAAGCTAAAAACCTGACTGCACAAGGTCCTAGCTATGAACGTCTAGGTTGGGTTTAGGATTTGTTCCGGGCGTGGGGGCTTAGGGCTTTTGATTTTGGATTCATGTTGGGTTAAAGGTTTAGGGTTTAAGGTTTTGGTTTAAGTCTGCGTATTGCTGGAGGCTTATGGTGGAGGGTCCAGGCTTTGTTTGTTTCCGGTTTGGGGCTTGCTTCGACATTGGTTCTTTTGGGGTTTAAGATGTGTTTCGGGTGTGGATCTTTAGGGTGTATATGAGCCATAATCTAAAATCCTAGTATCCCCTTAACAACCCCAAAAGTAGTGCCCCATATAACCCCTTCTATAACCCACTTCAAGGAGTTCAGACTTAGAGGATCACGACTTGGAGTTAGGCTTCAGTGTGAAGAGGAAACACTCGGAAGTCCTTCGGCCGGGGTCGCAAGGGTTTAGGGTTTTGGGGTTTAAGGTTTAGGGCTTGATATTTAGGGTTTAGTGTACCTCCAATTAAATCCAATTACCTACAGTTTATTAGCAATTGCCCCTTCATTAGGAGGTATATCTCATAAAACTGTAAGTAAACCCTGAACTTAATTTCAAGCCCCTAGACCCTAACACGAGGCTTATGGCTTCTAATTGCGGAGGCGAATTTGGGGGTATTCCTCCTGCAAGCCTTACAGGACTTCACAGGCTTTGGGGTTCACAGATCTGAGGGGTTTCAGGTGCATACAGGCTTCTAAGGGACATGGGTTCCTTATTCGGGACTGTGGTAGGGGACTATGCTACTCGACTACAGGAGCAACCCCTACGTCCAGTATTAAGGGTCCCTTAACAAGCCTAATCTTGACTGTGGCTCAGTTATCTAGAAGGCTTCAAGCGCCAAGCCTTGCAAGTCGGAGCGCGGTCTCCAGAATATCTTGCATGCTTGAAGGATTCCAAGCCTGCAACATCCTCGCGCCCAGGAATTATGATAACCCCTTGCAAGAAGCTATGACGGAAAAAACAGGAAGGGTCCACAGTGCTATTGAACACCTCCACTTACGTAGGTGCATGCCAAACCGTCTTCTTGTTTTCAGGTCTTCTTCACAGAAGGATCCTGTATTCGTGGTTTACATACTTCGCCTGTACTGATGTCCAACACCCATACTTCCAAGCAAGCCCATCTGAGTGCCCGGCGTCTGCGTCGGCGTCTCCGACCGATTTGTAAGTTGCCCTGCACTGGAGGCACGCTGCTGCTGCATTTGCATCTGCAGCATCTGCTGCTGTTGCTGCTGCTGCATCATTGCCTGACAGAGAGGGGCATGCATCTTTGTGCTTTTCCAGGGGGCTACAAAGAAGTTAACAAGAAGCTTAACATTACGATTGCTGTTACTAGTGCTGTTACAATTGCTATTTCAGGCGGCTTTTTATGCATTAACAACTATTGTTACTAGTGCAAGCTAGTTTTCAACCATGGTCTCGGGATTTCGGATGACCCGCTGCTCTTCTGTAGCATCCATCTTCGTCCCTACCTAGGTGGCTGGAAACTTGGAGGGCAAGCGCAGGAGCCCATCAACAAGGCTGCACTCCAAACGTATGCTTACATTAACATTACATGCCTATCTATGTAAGCTTGCATGTATGTATGTAGCTGTGCATATACATATATGGTAGTTTCCCAAAATAAGGGGACCCCAATGTAGACTCCAATATACTATACTCCTTATTATGGGGATCCCCAAAATGTACCCCTAATTTTAGGAAACACCCATGTACATATTCTACAGTGCTGGTGACCAACCTCCGCTGAGTTGTCGTAGTTCATTCTCGACACCTTGCCACTTGACAGGTGTGTCAGGGAGCTGGCCCGGGCCTCCCCTACTGGATACCAAGTATACATTTGCATGTTCCAATATTCCTAAGGAACCCGATTTTAGGCCTTATATATTCTGACAATAACCACAATAGATAACCCTGCTTCATGTTGGCATGCCTTTGAAGTTGTTCTGGGTCGTTGCCCATGTTGGCTGTGCAACTTTCCGCCCAGATCTGCTGGGAGGTTCAGGGTAATTATAACCAAACTATAGTTGGTACCTATAACCCACTTATATTGATAGTAGAGGACTTGATGGAGCGTGTATTTGGGTTATGCGTGCAGCTGTAGTTGGGTTACAACTACCCTGAATCTCGAGGTGTCCCGCACAACAACAAGGCCATGAGAAAATTGGTACTTTCCAAAGAATAGAGGCCCTCATATAGACCCAGACAAACTATAATCCTTATAGTTGGGGCCGCCAAAATCCCACCCCTAATTTCTGGAAAGCCCCTAGTTCTCTAGATCGTCTCGCAGCGATAAGATTTATTGAAGGCGTTGGCAACTTCGTTTTTGAGGCCCTTTATGCTAATAAAAGTATTCTGACGGTTATACTACTACTACTACTGCTGCTACTGCTACTGCTACTGCTACTGCTACTGCTACTGCTACTGCTACTTCTACACTGCTACTGCTACTGCTACTGCTACTGCTACTACTCCTGTTGTTGTTGTTGTTGTTGTTGTGGTTGTCGTTGTCGTTGTCGTTGTCGTTGTCGTTGTCGTCGTTGTTGTTGTTGTTGTTGTTGTTCTTGTTCTTGTTCTTGTTCTTGTTCTTGTTCTTGTTGTTGTTGTTGTTGTTGTTGTTGTGATGGTGTTGATTTTGTCTTCAACCCTAAACCGTAGACCTTAATCCCTGAAGGCTAGACATTCGGATCCCTGCATCCTGAGGTCGCAGCCCGGTAGCTGGCGCCATACTTGGCGGCATTGACAGCCGGTGGGGCCCGGCCTACAAGTTGCTGGCTCATCTAGGGCTATGGAGGGTAATGTATAGGGTTGCATAGGGATCTATAGGGTTAAATAGTGATATATAGGGTTATCTAAGGGTGTATAGGGTTACATAGGGATGTACAGGGAGAATTGAAAAGAACATAGAAACTACTCTATAGGGCTTAACTCAAAACGCTAAACCTTTAAGCCTCCAGGACGCAAAGCTGCTTAGGTCAAGGCTTTGGGTTGTAGTCCCCTCAAGTAGACAGAATATGGGGTATGTGGGCATCTTATTTTAATATACCCAAAGCCATATTGTATCTACTTAAGGGGGACTGTATGAAGTTCAGCTCAGGTTCCTAGATATACAGGTCAAGTATTTTGGCAGAGCACCGTCTGTTTGAAGACTTGAAGGGGTTCAAGGTAACAAAGGCTGCTTTGTGGAAATATAGTGGTTATATAGGGATAATGGAAAAGAAAATGGAAATTACTATATTATAATGGGGTATATACTGGGGTTATATTGGGGTTATATTTCTTAGCTTACACTTTTACACGCATTTTGCAGGCTTCCGTGTAGACTGCCCTTGTTCTGTTCCATGCATGTTGGTCAGCTTCTCAGAGATCTTCCTACACTAAACCCCAGGCCCCAGGCCCTAAAATGCCCCCGCAGGATTGTCATCAGCAAGGGTATGAGCCTGAAGCAAATCCCCAGGCCGTGATCCCGTCACGGAGCCTCCTAAGAACCCTTAGGGTTTAGGGTTGAGGGTCTGGTGGGAATGTCTGTCACATACAATAAGAGGTGGTAAGGAACAACGTCCACAAACCCTAAACAATGAAAACTGAACACCAAACTGGGCTCCAAACCCTCAAAGATGAGGTTGGCTGTTTAGGAGTCGTATACATACACATACCCCATACTCACATGAAATCTGACCTAGTTGAATTTCCTCAAGAGCAGCCCAGAAATCCATAGTTCCACCTGCGCCCTCTGACCATGCAGCGCCGCGGGGTCCTGCAACAGGTTGTGCAAATCTGTGGACGGGGGGTCAGAGTCTAGTGAGCCAGTGAAAATACGTTGTAGCAGCTGTTCGTGACTTCATATGTACATATATTTCGATAGTTACGTATGTACATACATCTATATATATATAAGTATGAACTATGTGTATGTGTATATATATATACACATACGTTCTATGTGTAGAAATAGGTATATACAATCACAGGGTCACTCTTGAACTTCTCATTGGGTTTTCGCGGCTCCGTGCGTGAAAGCTAAAACGCGCGCGGCCAAATCCTAAACTAGACCCTGCACTCAAACCTTAAACCTTAAGCTTTGAACGCTAGATCCTAAATCTAAAGCCCTGAACCCAAAACCTTACATCTTGAATCTTAAGCCCTGATAACTAAACCTAAATCCTAAAACTTAAACCCTAAAGCCTCAATCCAAAACCTTAAACCGTAACCTTGAATCCTAAACTTTAAACACTACACCTGAAACCCGAAACCCTAAACCTTAAGTCCTAGATCCCTAACTGGGTCCTGCTGCGTTGCTATTAGCTTCGCGCTGAGCCGCCTGCCGCTTTAGCTTGCCGTCAGGCCTGACAACTGGCTTGAAGGCTTTTAGGAGCTAGAGGTTAGGGTTTACGGGTTAAACCCTAAACCCTATAAGGCTTAGGGTTAGGGTTTAGGGTCAGGATTTAGAGTGTGGGGTTTAGGGGCTAGAGTTTAGCGTTCAGGGTTTAGAGGTTTTGGACGTGCCCGCACCTGGGTTGGAGTTAGAGGACTTTGCTCTAAAGAGCAAAAAAAAATGTTCAAGGGGCGTTGTATAGGGGACTCCATAGAGGTCATATATATGTAGAGATGTTGTATATTGCCATGGATAGAGATGTACATACATAGACACATACAGACAGTAGATTCAGTAGATACCATCGTTTCGTTATGTTGGTAGTCCTTCACAGTAACCCGGTAACCATGCACTCTAGACCCTTCACCCTAAACCTTAAACAGCTAAACCCTCAACCCTAAACCCCCAAAGCCGAAACCTTGGTCCCCGAACCCCAACGAAATCTCCCCACAGAAGGTCTAAAGACACCAATATATTTCCTTCTTGGCTAGTATGTTCCAAACCCCCACCAAAAATGCATAACTACCAAACCCCAAACGGAACTACATAGGAGCTATAGTCTAAACTCCTAGTATTCCGTTCAATAATCCGTTTCTGCTGCCCTGTAGAATCCCCTACATAATTCCCTTGAAGTGGTTTAGACTTTAGCTGACATAGGAGCCCTTGAAGTAAAAGCATGCCCTCTACAAGGCACAAACCCGAAGGCAGCAGACCTCATGGCGCTGGTGTAGTGATGCTGCCAGGCAGCAAACTGGACACCTTAGTATTAGGATTTAGGGTTTAGGATTTAGGGTTCAGGATTTAGAGTTTAGGATTTAAGGTTTAGGGGGTCGACCGCAGGTTTAGAGACATGACATGAGGCTCCCTAAGTTCCCTTCATCTCTTCGTCCTGGGGGCTCAGGAAGTCTGGGTTGTGCGGGTTGTTTTCTGGGTTGCTGTTGATTACTGTCATTCTTTTAATATTCTTATTACTCTTCTTACTACGGTTCTTATTGTTGGTGCTACTTGTATTGCTACTAGGCGCTGGGGTTAAGTCAACCCAGGTTGTGTGAAGTCGGCTCTCCC